CTTAGCTTAGCAGAAAGATTGTAAACAGCTAGACTTATTATTGGTAATCAATTTATTTATTTATTTACCCTCCTTTCCCCTTTCTTGCGTTTCATAGACTGCATAAATTGGAAATACCCACACTACAATCTTGTACAATCAGAATTTGAAACCGACAGTGGATGCTCCATCTTTTATACTGAGCATGGTTTTTAATGAGCGTATAAAAGTAAATTCTGCCAAGAATGTTTTATTTATTAGAATAAAAATGTCCGGTACTGTAAACAGTAAACAATAGGACGTTACCCGGCGTAACTACGGCTGTGTGCTGAGAAAAGCGCAACAATTTTTCTGCTTGGAGTCAAGGTTGTGCGACCTGCAGCCATGGAGTCGAGAAACCCGTTGCTTAGCAATCCGACAGGATTGGGAGATCAGTTAACTTTTAGCACACTTTCTAGCTCACTTGAATGTTTTTAGTTCTATTAACTTCTAATTTTGTGGATTACAGTCCTGCTACTGCGGTATCCGGGATACATAATCATTATTTAATGGAAGGTAAACATAAGTTTATCTTAGGCCATTTTAGACTGATACCCATGAAACTATCAAACTGATATAACTAGTTTTTGACAATATGAGAAATGGCTGCTGACATGTTGTGTACACCGTATAATGTATGCCCTCGCTTTGTCTGTCTCTAGGTAATACGCTGTGAGAGCAAGGAGCATGTGTCTACTCATGGTCTCCACTGTATACAGCATTTTTTCTGTGACAGCCCCGTGCGTTTTATGATGTATTCTGAGGCTGCTGCAGCAGTTATCAGCCTCCACTCAGACAATACAGTCTGCATATATCGAGCTGATGGCCACATGCAGACTTCCTTAGTACACTTGCCTTTCATGGGCTTGACCTGTACAAAGATCTCTGGCTGGGTGGTCGGTTGGGGCCCTGGTGCCATCTTCAAACTTCTGGACAGGGAGTTACGCCCCTTGGATTCTGCTGCTGATGCCCTGGACATACATGTCTGTCAGCCTGCAGAGCACTCCACAGAGCAGGTGTGGGGAATGTGTGTATTTGGTCGGTGATGCTCATGAGGTGTAAGTTGAAGATACAGGAGGGGCTGCAGCACAGCACACTCACACACATGGCACTGGCACCCCCACAGTCTGATAGGCCCCACAGAGCCTTTGCTGCATGTGAGCACGTCGTGACAGTGGTCAACCTTGATGACGAGAAGGTTTTGGATCATAGAAAGGATCTCTGCTCATGGTATGTATGGATGCATGTACTATACACTCAGTGGCCACTTCATTAGGCACAACAGTACAGTCTTATGTAGTCCTGCTTTGAAATTCTATTTTTATTATGCCTATAATGTCCAAGGTTCTGACACTCTTACAAAGGTACAAAGTTTATAATGTTCAGTTTTTGTTGACAGTGAAAGTGTGTAAAGTGTTGTAGAACTGAGGTCGTAGTCATGGTGTTGTACTGGACTGCGTTCTATTCAGATATGTTTCTAATATTCATCAATAGAAAGGACAAAATTTAGAAACAACTCTCTAAATCTGAATGTGAGCATTTTTGGCACTGCTGTTAACAATGAATTACAGTACACTAGGTTCAGTGGTGTACTTTACCTAGGCTGACATTTTTTAGAGTGTCTGTATTGAAATTTGAATATGAATTTTTGAGCAAAATACTGTTGTGTTTTACAGTGATATCACTGCAATGGCATACTGCTCTCAACTGGAATGTTTAATCATTGCATCTCAAGATCTGTGCATTAGAGTATGGGGTTCAGACTGGGTGCTACGTGAGGTTTTTTAGGAAATAATGGTAAATTTATGACTGAAGGACTCTATATTTCAAGTCAGCCCGTCTTTATGATTGGACTCCTTGTTGAATTTATCTGCTTTTTGTTTCTTTCTTTGTGTCCAGGTATGGTGAACTCACTGTTCTACTGCTCTGAATTCCACATGCTTTTATCATCCTCTCTGGATTGTACGATCCGTTGCTGGAATGTGGAGGACGGTGATATGGTCAATTGCATGCACACAGAGCAGAAAGAGCCTCCGTTGTACATAGGAGGCACTAGAAAGGGTGATACCTTCTTTTCCTTCTCTCGCCATGGAGTGGACTTCTGGAGCATAAGAAACATGTACAGCCTCCACTGTAAACTCAAAGGGGATGAAAGAGCCCCATTGAGACAAATCCTGGTCTCCCCCTTCCCTGCTCCTTACCCTGTAAGAGTGCTCTGTGTTAGTGGAGATAGTGATATCACTCTGGTGGCTGCAGAAACAGGAGCAGTGTTGACTTCCCTCAAGGCACAGCAGAGGATTTTGCACGCTGACTACTGCCTGCACAAAGAGATCCTGCTGGCCTTAACTGAGGCGGGTACAGTGCTCCAAGCCAACGCCCTCACTAATCCAGTCACTTTGATGCAAGAGGGGAAGGCGAGAGGCCTGGGGCCCTGGCAGCAGGAGAACCATTTGACAGAAGAGAACTCACAGAATCTGCCGATCCCTGGCCCGGCCTGCTGCCTGGTGGTCTACAGCTATGTAGTTGAAACACAGGGCGCTTTGCAGCAGTGGAGGAGCTTGCAAGAGAGAAGAGGGTGCAGTCACAGGAACAAAGCCTCTCTGGACGATGCCAAGAACAGGTGAACATTTTCATTTCAAAGGTACAGTAATAACTAGTTTTTGACAATATGAGAAATGATATTTAGCTGAAGGTGCAGCAAGAAGGTGAATGATTGTTTACTGTATGATTTTGTTGTCTGGCTGTAGAGTTTGTCAATGCTCCTCATTTACTATATGCATATATTTTGTAAGACTGTGTTCACTTCCCACTTTTTGTGGTATTAGAGAGCCTTTCCACACCCTTTGTTATTGTAGTAATGTGCAACATTAGTAAGAAATCATCATCTCCTCCTCATTCACATGACTTGTTAAACTTTCTCAACAATTAGTGAGAGTGTCTTAGTCAGGATAGTTACAACATCTGAAGCTTTTGATTTTTGATTAAAGCCTCTGAAGAAACTATAAAATCAAAGTACTCTACCTTAATTTCTAAGAACCATTAATTACTATGCTACAAAAGCTTTTTCAAGACCAGTGATGAAGCCCCACACCTAGAAAAGATTGTTGCTTTATATTCCAAAGTACAGATAAATCGGAATGCCCTGCCCCTCCCTTACTACCACCACAGAGATACTCGTGAGAAACACAGTTAATGCAGACAAACTAGTCAGACTAGTCACTGGGTGTCTTTCAGGTGTGCAGTCCTAAAAAGCAGTACTGCACATACACTTATATAAATAAAGATATTTCATGAGCAGATATATAACCAACACACTGCATCTGCAATTTTTTAAAATTTTTTTATCAGTTTTAAGACCGTAGTAGTAATAGCAGTGGTAGTAGTAGTAGTAATGGTGGTATTAACAGTGGTGGTGATAATGCTACTGATAGTGCAAAATGTATTATCAGCATCATTCACACCAACATCAGCACAGAAAGCATCAAACAACCTATTCAATCAATCAGGTAGTCCAGTTATCCCAAGATGGCTGCGGTACCATATGTGCAGTCACAAGTAGTAGTTGGTCTTCCCGTGACCATTGTTGTCATTTTGTTCTGAACAAATTATACAACGTATATTAGTAAAGGTTTTCAAATTGAATAATTTGTTCATCAAAATCCAATTTATGACTTAAGTGTTCCCTTAATTTCTTTGAGCACTGTTGACATTTTAATTAGCTTCACCTGCACTTTGTGTTTAGTGTCAATTACCAAATGTTTGCATGTTAATACTAAACATAATGGGAACTTCATAACTACAGATGTCAGGGCTGTTACAGTGGGGTGTCCCTCACCAGGGGGTGAGAGAGAGAGAAGGAGGACTCAGGGTGCAAAACACAGGGCTAGGTGGAAAACAAAAGAGTCTTTATTGCCAGAACTGAAGCAGGTGGAGAGGACAAAGTCAGTGGGTTATGCGTGGTCCAAACCAGGGTTGAGTAGTGGAGGCTGAGAAGACCAGGACGGCAGGTAAGCAGGAAGGCGAGCAGCAGGAACCAGGAGGACAGGGCTGGTGAGCAAGGTAGCACTCGCCGTCAGGCAAACATTATATCGCTGGAGATAATAACGGCAGGTGGTGATGTTCTCTCTGATACTGAGGCTCCGAAGCTTGCTTCAAACTCTGAAGGACATTTTTCTGAAGCACTTTGCCGGATCTTGCTTCAAATCAGGAAAAACCACGTGACCGATGACATAACCACTTCTGCTTCATTCAGATTGAATCAGCTGACTGGTTTGGTTCGATAGGCGGAGCTTTGAAACACTGGCGACGCCATACAGATGTATTTACAATGGATGAGCTGTCCTACTTCTTGTCAACACATTATGGATTGCCTCGCTATGGAGCCATCAAGTTTCCTTGATGGCTCCATAGCATATGAAGCTTGTCCCAGTGATGAAAACTTAAGAGGGGGACCCTGTCCCTTGTCCATAGGTCCTCTTGTCCCAGGGTTGCCCTCTTGACCCTGGGCCTGTCTGCCACGAGACCACTCGGGGCATCTGTCTCTCACATGTCCCCACTTTCCACGGTGGAAACCTGCTGCCTGGTGGTCTACAGCTATGTAGTTGAAACACAGGGCGCTTTGCAGCAGTGGAGGAGCTTGCAAGAGAGAAGAGGGTGCAGTCACAGGAACAAAGCCTCTCTGGACGATGCCAAGAACAGGTGAACATTTTCATTTCAAAGGTACAGTAAATATTGTCTTGTGCCAAAAGATTTTTTATGCCAGCAAATGTGATTGAACCTCTGTGCTTGGGACAGATTTTTGATCATACTTGGCCAAAATGGAGGCTGCGTGAGTGTTCTAAAACTGAATAATGGGAACGTCTTGTACAGGACACCAGCACACAGCGGTCAAAGAGTCACCACAATGCAGGTGTACCCCAAGGATGGCTACCTACTCACGACAGGTATTTCCCAATGTAACTGATTTTCCTTTGTATACTTCTTCATGATAACTTAGTGACTTTACCTCCATCTCCAAGGTGAGGACATGACACTAGTAGTGTGGCGAGTACACCCCTACATCCAGGAGTGTCTCAGCCAACAAGTGAGCTTGCACTGTGGCCAGCCTCATGTCTATGTTGCAGCACTGGGGCCTCAGCTGGCTCTGACCTTTCAAGAGCCCAACAGTGGGGCCTATAGCCTGATACACCTTCTCATCCAGAGCCAGACCGGTCAGCTGTCCAGAGAAGGCCATTTAGACCACATCACAGGTTTATAACTGTTTCCATAAAAATGATAAATGCATGATTATTTGCTGGGCATAGTGTTGCATTGTTTGTGTATGTGAGTCACTGGACAGTTGCTTGGTTTCCTTGCAGGACTGTGTGTATGTCCTGATCTGGATGTGTTTGTCACCAGCAGTTTAGATAGGACAATGTGTATTTGGAATGAGGAGAATCAACTCATCAGGTTGGAGCTCATTATCTTCTTCGGATGTGAAAAGCATACAGTAATGTACAGTGATTAGTGTTTATGTGTCCCTTTAGGATGCTCCAGTTAAATGCAGTGCCTGAGTGTCTGGCTTACGCTGGGTTTGGAGGAGAACTGTTCCTGGGCATCAGAGGAGTCCTGTACAAAATGAACTGTGCAGATTTCCTACCACACAAGTACCAACAGCTGGTAACTAGTGAGCCAGCAGTGGGGCTGATGGGTGTATGACTGATGGAGTTTAGTTTTAAACCAAAATGTTTCTTTAATCCCATTTTATTTTCACAGCTGCGCTACACTTATCGTCCTGAGCCTCTTCCCAACTTGCCTATAACTGAGAATAAAGAAATTGTCAGCAAAAGAAAGTAAGACTTATTCTGATTTATCTCAGAATAATCCAGTACAGTGACCTAATATAATATGAGCATTACTGGTGCAAACAGGTCTTCTATGAAAGGCAAAAACAAGGAAGAGGAATCATCTGAAATCCCCAGTAATCAATCACTGACTGAAGACATGTGGAGCCAGAAGGTGTGTGTGACATGGTAGAATTTGAGACAATGAATGTCAATAGCACATTGAAAAATATATTCAGATCTCTTCTCTGTCTGTCTTGTTCCAGGAGAGCTTAGTGACCTCAAACATGGACTTATCTGCACTTCTACAAGGCACAGTAAAGTGCAGAAAAGGGAAGCCTCCTAGTACAAAGCAAACCAAGAAAGAGGCTTTTGACCGCTACATGAAAATAATATATGGATTGCCCTATAATATTCAGGTTTCTTCTCCTAAATCCACTTATTTTACCTGCTTTTTAAAGTGCTTTCTAGAATATGTTGACTTATGCTGACATCACAATTCCTGCTCTAGTCCTAGTATTACTGCCCAGTCTGCCCCTCTGTCCATGTCAACCTCATCCTCACATCCTTTGGCCATTGCACTGTCATGGAACTTTTCAGACCTGCCACTTTTCAACCAGCCGCCAAAGGCTCTCACAATTTCTCTCTAATTCCAGTCATAATGGCCTTACCCACATACTTTCAAACAGTTCCCAGTTTCACCATCAGTCCAGATTGTTTATGCTTTAGTGTCTTTCATGCAGCTCTGTCTGTGAACTTGTTAACTTACCTGCAATGTGCATCTTGTAACTGTTGCCTGGGGGAGTCTGTTGGTCAGGCGATAGAGCGTGTCGTCTCATAACTGGAAAGTTGGCACTTCAGTTCCCGGTTTATCCATTCCACATGTTGAAGTGTCCTTGAGCAAGACACTGAACCCCCAGTTGCTCCTGGTGATATAACCAGTGTGTGAAAGTGTGATTGCTTAAGAGGGAAATGGGTGAATAGGCAAATGGTGTGAAAGCACTATGAGTGTGCTGCAATGGATAAAAAAGTGCTCTACAAGTATAAGACCATTTACCTACCTGTCTGTCAGTCTGCCTGAAAGCCTGGTCAGCTTTAATGGAGATCATGTAATTACCTGACATTTGGGAGCTAGTTGCTGTGTATAATATGGTGTGGTAATGATAATATGGCCCAACTAATTCCTGGATTTGCAGGTGATACAATATTCATCTACAATCTTTAAAACCTTATTGTATTTCTGTAAGGATTGTCTAAATGATAAACAGCTGTTCTGTTTAAATATTTTTTGCTTTTTATTTTTTATTTAGGACTACAGTATGGTATTATCCTGTGTTGTCAGATTGATTTGGAGGACACATCTGACCCAGATATATTTTCATTTAATCCTGAACCAAGTGACAACAAGCCCTATAACTTTCCTATTTTAAAAAAAGACATTCTCCCCAAATCTAAATTGAACATACCTGTAGATGTGGAGAAAAAGAAGGTAAGAACTGTTTGTTTCATGAGCAAAACTTGTTTATGTGCACTCTGGAACTTAATAAGCTAAAGGCATTTGAAATTTAGAGCAGAATTTCCAGTTGTTTTGGACTTTATTTGCTTTCCCCTGCTTACTGGGATTTACAATCTTGTCTAGAAATTGGTATGTCAGGTAGCAAAGTTTTGTTCTGACTTTGCAAATGCAGGAGAAAAAGGCTCCAGCGACAAGCTCTAAACCAAAGACCTCAGTGAATGACAAGCCACAGCCTGTTGAGAAAGTCAAACCCATTAAGCCCAGTATAGTGGAGAAAGATGAAGAGGTAAGAGCATTTTATAGAAGACACAAGAACATATGACATAAGAACAATAGCTCTCATTTGCATGTAACTTGTCCTCATAGCCTCCAGAGAGAATTTCTCCAAATGAGCAACCAAAACCCAAAATTCAAACTCCTCATTATTCAAGGACCCCAGCACTGCTTCCACCACGGGATCCCACCCCTGAGCTGCCGGCATTCCTCAAACAGTTTGCAAATGCAAGCTGGTTTCAAGACTTGTACCCTGATCAGAAGGTAGTCAATTAAAGATGTCAGATTTATTACATATTAAGAATGAATGAATCAGCTATAATGCACAATTTTGACTTTGGTCAAGGTTTAGCTCTTGATGACTTTGTGCGCAGATCATCCCAAGCACCCTGTCTCCAGAGGACTTTTCCTTACAACTGCTGGGCTGTCTGAACACTTGCAGTGCTCCATCCAAAACTACAATCCTAGCTGCACTGCAGACCCTGCATAGCCAGGGACTCTTACAGAATACAAGCTTTTCCAAGGCATCTTCGACTTGGTGCCCAAATATGTGAGACAGCACATGGTACTGTGTGTCCAAGATCAAGACTGTCACTGCCATTTTAAGAAGTATATTATGATTTTGTAACCAGTTTTTTTTATTGTGTTTTTCAGTTACCTTTGGATTGGACAGTGCTTGTTGAAGTGTTGATTCTGTTGGTGGATCTGAAATCTGCCAGTTATGACTTTGTGAAAAATCTTCTCACTCTTCTGGCCTATAAAAGACTCGGCCTCCAGTAAGTCAATCAATGTTAAAATAATAAATGACAACTAGCCTTCATACGCAGTGTAAGAGCCTTCTTAAAGAGAAGTTAAAGCTTTGTAAAATGACTGAAAGTCTGTATTATTTTGCTCCATCAATAGGAAAACACTGCTGTGTATGCTAAAAGGACTAGGTGTCGATGAGGCTGAGCAGTGGTTGTTGCCTGAGTTGGAGAACTGGGACTCTGAGCCACATGACCAGTCTGACATCTGGAAGAGCCTCCATAACAGAGCAGACTGTTGGTTGGAGCTATGGATCTCCAAGTACAAAGTAACAAAGATGGTTCATTTCTCTCTCTTACATTACATTTCAAATGGACAGAGCAGGTGTCTGAAAACCAAGAGGCTATCCCTCTGTGAAGCTCTGCTCTCTGCTGATTCCCATATCCCTAATTGTGACCTTAACTCCTCTAAATAGGAGCACATAGCTGGCTAGGCATAACTAGGCATGGCTGGCTTTGGCTTTCTGCTCCTTCCATACCACTAGGAACACAAAAGGTATCTGTACCTCAGGGGAACAGCAAAATGGATGCCAACAACCTTTGGCATGGTGGATGTACTGAATTATTTCTGCTCCATCCAAAAACAGAAGTACAGAAAGGCTCAATATGTTGCACCTGCTGGTTGCAAAAATACAGTGCTTCTTCCCCTAAATGACAGGTATGTGAATGTTATGAACTTATCAGTTTACACTCTTCACATGTACTTTTTTTTTTACATTACTGTGTCTGTTTGTGTAGTAGTTCTCAACCAATCCTTCGTCTAGGAGAGACTTACACCATGGCCAGGGTCCGGAGGCCACCAGGTAATATTTCAGACTTCTGCTTAAATGTAAATGACAGTTTAAATGAATGTTTATTAAACATCGAATGCATTCCTGTCATACAGGAATAATTCTGCCTCCCCTGCGAAACCGTCCCTTCCTCATGCACTTTCCCAGTTTCATCTCTTTGCCTCTAACTCGAGTCAATCTGTGCCCCTTTCACACCTACTCTAATGAGGACTGGCCGAAGGTCCTACAGTGACGCTACTTCATTCAACAGCAGTCTTATGTTGAGAACTACAGGTGATGCCTCTTAGTCTGTAACATTCCCAATAACACCTGGTGAACCATATTAAAAACATTTTAAAATGTGTTTATTCTCAACAATGAAATGGCTTTTTGACTCACTACTTCTGTGACTTACTATGACTTATCATCCAGGACAAGGGTGACTGGTACACTGATACTGGACACATTGCTATATAACACACAGGCTAAGTAAAATAGAACAGCACAATCATAAGAGTACATTACCAAGTGACCAAAACAGAAACAAACACTGGTGGTAACCAATGCCATTGCTAACTGCTACAGCAGGACTGGTTGTTGTTTTTCCAGTGTACACATGAAGTAGGCACACTGATAACATGTTAGATTTTATGACTTCTATAAAGAAAGTAGCAGATTGAAAGACACACGAGCAGACAGGCTGGGACCTTTGAGGTACATTAACCTTTGTATCCTGGTAATGTGACTATAAAGTAATGACTCATTTTTGGTACAAAACCAGCATTAACCAACATCCAATAGTTTAAGTGGTACAGTCAATATATGAAAATATTAAAGTAGTTTGAAGCATGGCATATTATGTTATCACATTCTCTTTGCACATTCCCACATCCCCAGAAGAACAAACCTTATCCCTCATTCTGCACTTTAAAATTAGTGCTGTCTTCTCATCCTTCGCATGCTGCCAACAAAAACAAACTTGCTGATTTGGTGATTATTGGGTCTTTATCCATAAAAGAAAAAAAACATAGAAATAATTAAATCCTTCATGTGATTGTCAGGCTTACAGACATTGCTCTGCTATGTGTCAGTGAGTAAAGCACCAGTGTTCTTCCCCTGACTTCTGCTCTACTCCACTGAGTCTTTATCATAATTGAGCAGGTCACAGGTAAGAAAGAGGTCAGAGCGTCTACTCTCTATCAGGACCTGGCTGAGCTGGTTGCTGGTCCTGCTGATGGCTGTGGCTTCATCCAGAGGCCAGTCTAAGAGCTGAGAGCTGGAGGGCAGATCAGGAAGCCCTGGCTGGTAGTCCTCCAGGGGGTTAGGGTACAGTAACTGACGGAGGGACGGCATTCGCACAGCCATCCTCACCAGTTCCATGAGGCCAGCCATGGAGACTGGGTTCAGGGCCAATGCCAACGTCCTGAGGACCTGGCAGCCCCCCAGCGAGGGTAGCAGGAGGTTCAGGGCCAATGCCAACGTCCTGAGGGCCTGGCAGCCCCCCAGCAGGGTGTCAGTGAGGCCACAGCCGCTTAGAGAGAGGTGCTGCATGCTGCTGGAAGCCTGTGAGAGGAGGCGGCAAATAGACAGCAGGGTGTTTTCATTCAGATGGTTTTCACTTAGATCCAGCTGTTGTAGTGTGGAAGCATGGTGGCTGCAGGACAGGTAGGCAAGGTCAGCTGGGCTTAGGCTCAAATACAGCAGCTCCAGTATCTCTAGAGGCTTAGGCAGTGAGCTATAACAAAGAAAGACAAAACAGTTAAGCTTTCTCAATTAACTGAGACCACTTTCTGACATTAAAGTGTCAGAAAAAGCCAATCACTATTTGCCCAAGGTGCATGTTTTGTCAAAACTTAAAGATAATCACTTTACTTTCACAAAAACCAAATGACATCTGCAAGGCTCAAATTGTAGGCATAAAGTTAGCACAGCAGCATTCACATAATGGGGGATCAGGCCATACAGTACCTGAGCAGCGCACGGAGTTGTCCAGGCAGGTGCAGTGCAGTGAGGCTGAGGCTTTGCAGTTCATGCAGCTGTGCCAGACCCTGTGACAGGTTCTTCAGTGCCTCTTCTTGGCCAGGATGGACTCTGCGAAAATTCAAATTACAATAGTGTAGCCGAAGGGAGTTCAGTGCAGGGAAGGTGGAGAGAAGTGGCAGCAGCTCGGCCAAGCCAGCCACCCGGAGACTGCTGTAGCGGACATCGATGCCAAGGAGACCTTGACGAGGTAGGAGGTCCAGCAGACTTTTGATAATTGATACAGATATCTCCTCCACACGAAGGTATCTGCACTGAAGCTTGAGGGGACCTGATGTGCTGAGAGCCATGTGAACACGCTCCCAAGATCGTGCATTGACAAAGAGATCAGCTCTCACATGGACCAACACATTACTTCTTAAATCATTTTCCTCATTTTCTTTTGTTGTGTCTGCAACACCTGTCAGTGCACTCTCTTTTTTCCTCTGTATCTCCATCCTCCTCCTGACTCCTTTAATCAGCTCCTCTTCACCCAGAACCCCCACCAATGTGTCATTGCTTGCCTCATCACCATTTGGTTCCTTCTCCCTCTTCAACTGTCCCCTCTCTCTCTTTAAATCTTTTTGTCTCTCCAGAGCTGAGAACCTTTTTCTCTCTCGCTCTCTGTCTTTCCTCTGTGCCCTCTGTCCTGCAGCCCTAGCCTGAACAACCATAGAGCAAAGAGCCACAGTGAGAGACCAGCCTCCCATTGAGTCTCCCATTCCTCCATCATCTCCTGGCAGCCCACAGAGATCCAGTACTTGCAGAGCACACCTAAAAAAGATGTTACTGATTATCAATGAGACAAGACTGAAAAGAGATGGAAGTCTTAGAGAAGCCAAATCAGTGCACACTTTAAGAAAGCATTTTAGAGTTTACAGATATTTCTTCTGGAGTGTAGCATCTCCTTGATTTGTTTTCATTGTCTGTATCCTTTCCTTATTCAATGCCTGCTGCGAAAGTGCCTATCCAAACCCTCTAGAAAAACTAATAACACACACCTTTGGTCCGAGAGCCCTCTGACAACTGCAAGTAATAGAGCCTGTATGCAGAGTCGGTTTGGCGCAGTTTGGCCTCGTTTTCTTCGTCCTCCAATGCGCAGGGTACGTTCAGGCCATCTCTGCGCCAGTTCTCCCACAGCCAGCGGTCTGCAGCTGGTGAAGGCCGCCTCCAGCAGCGGCCTGAATAGCTCCCTGGGTACACATCTCAGCCAGCAGGGCGACGAGCTGTGGTCACTCACCACCTCCCTGGCACAAAGGCTCACCAAGGAGAGCACCATTTCAGCACAGAGTCGAATGAGCTCTTCGCATTAAAAATATACAGAAGCTGAAGTAATACTGTGCCTTATCCTTTCTCCTAGAAATTAGTTAAATAGCTAAAGCTAGCTTAAACTCCAAGATAAGAGAGCGATTTGAAGCGGTCTCTTAAAGTCCCAATAAATAATTCATAACATCATCTGATAGCTACTTGGACTGTTTACTGACAAACTTTACAACAACGAATGAAAGATGTTCACAGCGAAATATAAAACGCTGGCACATCACGTCAGCTAGCTCGACAAACTGCCACTGGGGAGGCTAGCTGGAGTAGGACTGTTTACAACACACAGACGCATGACACTGACGTAGTACGTAAAGGCGTGACGTCACCGCTGTAGAAATTAAAACGCAATCTTTAGGAACATTTTCAAAGCACTTTTACTTGTAAATGAATATTTTTTACAGTCTCGTAATTACAGTCTTTACTTAAGCAAATTACCTGAATTCCCCCATAACTAATTATTGACTATTGAAAAGAACCCTTAAATTATGATATAGTCTACAATATAACAGTATAACAGCTCCCTGATTGTGCCTCTGCCACAAGCCCTCACCCCTTTTCTTGTCACACAATCATCCACAAAAACACATAGAAAACTACCTGCATATTTGACATTCACATTATATCCCTTTAGTCTTTAATGTTCTGTATCCATCCATTTGTTTTCTTGTCTTCCCTGTCCAGGTAATAATTTTTATTTTGTTTTTATTGCAATAAAAATACACTCACAAAAAACATTCATATTGCAAAAACACAAAAGACAAGGCTAATACACTTGATGCACATATTATTAAATTGTTTTATTTGTTTTTACATTTGTACCTTGTGCTCTCTGGAAAGCAATGGATCACCCCAGTGAAATAAAGTAAAAGAATTATGTAAAGTATACAAGATACTAGGATTAGCATCACAAAATTAGTTTTGTGCTCACTGTATTATTCTAAAACAAAAACCACTAGGTGGAACTAAAGCATCATGCAACCTCACTGTACTCTGCTGGTCAGCAAAAACACAAATAATGCATGTACATTTCCATCTTTAGATTCTTAAAAATAGCAGACCAGATAGATGGGTTTAATTACACATTAGGAAGCAGGTTTGTCTTTTATCAGGTCAATGAGCTGCCATTTTCTAGGTCATTTTTGTTTTTCCACTTAATGTTTCTACCCATGTCCAGCTTGACTTTTTTGTGAATCACCAGCAGTTTACATCTCACTACTTTCTTAGCTGTTACTGATATGAAAACTTATATATGTTTATTATAAATTTTAATCATCTGTTCCTTCAGATGAAACAATGTGAAATGATCATATTTTGTCAATTATAACCTGACTTTAGAAAGGTTTTTGTTGGGACTGTTGAGTCTTATTATGATGATGGCTGCAAGTCGTATTTTTGTGGCAGGAGAAGGATCTGGCAAATGGGATGCATAAGACTGTTTAATGCATTTTGGGTATCTGGTTCATATTCCTCTGGTTAAGCTCATTTGTCAATGCTTTGTTTACTACCTTGTGCACATTCACCCATCACAGAGCACTGAGGCGTGTTCTGCCACACAGATGACTGGGGGTGCTGAGGGAAGATTGTCCTGCAGTTACACAGGTGAGATTAAACTGAGCTGTTATGATCACTCCAATCAGCAGTGAATCACAGGATTCAGGTTGGAAGGTAATTATCAGGTACTGTTCGTTGCCACAGCTTGATGGTGAAAGTAAATTGGCTGCATTCAAAATGCAAATCTTCTTCACTGTCGGTATGTTCTAATTATCAAATTGTCAAATGGCATCAGGCTAGGAAAAGTGATTATGAAGATGTATAGATGTAGGAACAGAGCTAAAAGAACCTTGTTTTTTTTTCTTTGCAGTAGAGCTACATTTCCTATAAAAATGCTGCCACGCATAGAATCTTCAACAGCTTTTCTACTTCTCTTGAATGAAAATATGTCTGTAGGAAGTACTTCACTGAAATACTCTGAGATTTCCTTCTTCACCTGTCAGGGACTTTGCTGCAGCAGGGCATAACCTGATTTGCTTCAGCTCTGCTTTAAAAAATGATACCACAAAATGTTTTTATACATCCTCTTTAACACAGCCCTGTATTCTTTTCAAACCTGTGAGATAATGGAATTGTTAACTAAATTTTACCATTACAAGTAAAGTGCTGCTGGTGTGTGAAGGTAACCTCCCACTTCATTTAATTTACTTTTTTTCACCACTTCAAAATGGCAAACACACTGTATAGTTAATAGTGAGCAATTTTGTGCACAGCATTGGTCTTATTTCTCTGTGTTTATTTTAGTTGAAAAGATGTTTGCTGGCATGTTGCATTCACTATTGGCTACTTTAAAATGCTACAATATGCAAACTAAGCTACGCCTTAAAGGACTAGTTTAACATTTCATGTGAGAGTTCAAATCTTTTGAGACTTGTCAGGTGTTTTGTTTACTTAATTGTTTGTGCAGCTTAAACAAACAAAATA